CCAAAAACACATGGGATGTGTCACATTTCTGAAATTCGGTGGCACCCCTCACGCAGATCGGCGGGGTCAGGGTCCGAAAAACACAAGGGATGTCACATGTCTGAAATGCGGTGGCACCCCTCACGCAAATCGGCGGGGTCAGGGTCCGAAAAACACAAGGGATGTGCCACATTTCTGAACTTCAGTGGCACCCCATCACGCAGATCGGCGGGGTCAGAGTCAAAAAACACATGGGATGTGTCAGATTTCTGAAATTCGGTGGCACCCCTCACCCAAATCGGCGGGGCCAGGGTCCAAAAACAAAGAGATCCGCCGGCCCCCTTGTGGGGCCACCAGGCTGTAGGAGCGGGGTTCGCAGTTTCCTGTACCAGTTGTAGCTTGTAGTTTCCAGTGTTACAATTCTGCTTCTTGCTGGTTACTGTAACTAGTTGATTGTTCTCCTTCTTGCTGGTTACTGTAACTAGTTGATTGACCGCGCGAGGGGGGGGGAGGCCCAAACCGGCATTTTAGCGTCTCCTGGGCGCGTTGTCTGAATTGCTGGGGGGGCTCGAAATCGCAGATCCGCGGGGTCAGGGTCCAAAAACACAGGGATTTGCCACATTTCTGAAATTCGGTGCCACCCCTCACGCAGATCCGCGGGGTCAGGGTCCAAAAACACATGGGATTTGCCACATTTCTGAAATTCGGTGCCACCCCTCACGCAGATCCGCGGGGTCAGGGTCCAAAAACACATGGGATTTGCCACATTTCTGAAATTCGGTGCCACCCCTCACGCAGATCCGCGGGGTCAGGGTCCAAAAACACAGGGGATTTGCCACATTTCTGAAATTCGGTGCCACCCCTCACGCAGATCCGCGGGGTCAGGGTCCAAAAACACAAGGGGTTTGCACATTTCTGAAATTCGGTGCCACCCCTCACGCAGATCCGCGGGGTCAGGGTCCAAAAACACAGGGATTTGCCACATTTCTGAAATTCGGTGCCACCCTTCACGCACATCCATCGCAAGGCGTGGTAACCCAAACTGCGAGAACTCCCTCGGCCCTTTAATCGCAAGGTGTGGTAACCAAGCCCGTAAACCATACACGTTTTACCAATCGCCAGGTGTGGTAACCCCTCTTGTGATCGGTTGGTTTTGCTGATTGCGAATCGGCTTCGCTTGAAGTTTCGATACTGCTTCACGACAGCGCCAAGGCCTCATGGCTTAGCTCTTCCATGGCCCATTCTCCGAGAGAGGGGGCCGGCGGCAGGGGGCGAAGCCCTTACGGATTTGCCACATGTCTGAAATTCGGTGGCGCCCCTCACGCAAAGCGGCGGGGTCAGGGTCTCAAGACACAGGGGACGTGCCACATTTCTGAAATTCGGTGGCAGCCCTGACGCAGATCGGCGGGGTCAGGGTCTCAAAACACAGGGGGTGTGTCACATTGCTAAAATTCGGTGGCACCCCTCACGCAAATCGGCGGGGCCAGGATCCAAAACCATATGGGATTTGCTACATTTCTGAAATTCTGTGGCACCCCTGACGCAGATCGGCGGGGCCAGGGTCCATATATATATATATACATACATACATACACACATACATACATACATACATACATACATACATACATACATACATACAACATACATACACATACATACATACATACAAAAATGCATACATACATACATACATACATATACATATACATATACATATACATATACATATACATATACATATACATATACATATACATATACATATACATATACATATACATATACATATACATATACATATACATATATACAGACAGCTATACATATACATATACATATACATATACATATACATATGCATATACATATACATGTACACATGGCATGGTCTGGCGCATGCACTGGCAAGATCCTAATAACATGTTGCATTGGATTGGCTAATTCATGCCGGCCTGGTTATCAACCCTCGGCACAGGGTCGTCGGCAGGCCAGATGTTCAGCTGGGACGACTGGAGCGAGCCCGCCTCAACCAAAAGGATTTGCAACATTCCTGAAATTCGGTGGCATCCCTCACGCAGATCGGCGGGGTCAGGGTCGAAAAACAAGCAGGTCCCGACACTGCTTCACGGCGGCGCCCAGACCTCATGATTTAGCTGTTGCATCTCCCATTATCCGAGACAGGGGGCCGGCGGCATGGGGCGAAGCCTTTACGGATGATAGTAATATTAAAAATCAATGGTAATAATCGTCGCGACTACCCTACTTCTCCTACTCCTTCCCTCCTTCTCCTCCTCATCAGGAATGGGACGAGGAGGAGCAGGAGGAGGACGAGGAGGAGCAGGAGGAGGAGAAGAAAAAGGAGGAGGAGGAGGAAAAGGGAAAGGAGGAGGAAGAGGAAGAAGAGAAGGAGGCGGAGGAAGAAAAGAAAGAGAATAATGAGTTTCGATCCTCGCCGAGAGAAACGGGGGAAGGGGGGCAAAGCTCAACATTCACTGCGGTTATGGAGGATGCATCGGGCACCGCGGCTGTTTCAGAGCACCTCGGAACGCTGCGAGAGCACTCCAGAACGCTCTGCAGTGATTTGTCTTCGTCCGAGGCCTCCATGGACGCACGCCAGGCGCCGCTGGCCAAGGAATTCTAGCGCCGACCGAAGAATTCCGCGCGGGCCTCCCAAGGCTTGCGCTGATGCCGTTTCGGACTCTTCGGGCTCCAGGCGCGCTGGCAGTGCACGCAGTGCGCGGTATGCTGCGAGTAGCGGTCGAGCAGCTCCGCGCGCGAGGGCGGCGAGGGTGGCAGGTCGGACCTCGTGGCTGGGAGCAAACATCCACGCTCAGCCCCACGGCCCGCCCTCCTCGGCCGCGACCCCTGTGGATACTTGAGCGGCGTTGCGCGGATGCCTCGCGTAGAGCGCATCCATGGGGCCGAATGTCCCTGGGACCGCGCCTCGGCATCCAAGGCGCGAAGGCACATGTTCGATGACGTCAATGACATCCATTCAAACTTGGCACCCGGACCGCACCCGGGGCCCTTCCAGGCGACTTTGTCGTCCCAGATCAATGTTTGACGGCCCCAGGGCCCGAAAACACTCCCCAGGAGCACAAAACGACTGACAAAACCTCGATCCCCGATTTTCCCCAAGCAGAGCTTGCACTTAGGGGTCCTTACATCTCTCCGGAGGAACTCCACTCAGCGATTTTGCTTGTGCGAGGCTCGCACTTTGCATTGTTTTGCGCTGCTTTGCATTACTTGTTGCTTTGCATTGCTTTGCATGGGTTCGCATTGCTTATCATTGCTCTGCTGTGGTTTGTGTTGAGTTGCGTTACTTTGCATTGTGCTGCATATTTTTGCATCGATCTGCAATATCTGAATGTGATGTGCATTGCTTCGGTTTGCTTTGCATTGCGTTGCTTCGCGCTGCATTGCATTGCGTTGTCTTGCGTTGTATTGTATTGATTTGCACATTGCTTTGCGTTGCATTGCGTTGCATTTTTGCATTGCATTGCATCGCTTTGCATCACAGCGCATTGATTCGCATTGTCTTGCATCGCGTTGCATTGCGTTGCTTCTCGCGTTGCATTGTTTGGCATTGCTGCACCACGTAGATTCTCCTTTCTGACAGAAAAATAAACTCCCCCAGCCCCCTCTGGAAATAACGGTCCCCACTGGGGAATTGCGACTTCATATATATTCTGCATACTCGTCCATCCGAATTCTAAATTCCTACTATCCCAGCCATGCCGGTATCACTCCCCCCCACCATCCTCTGCAAAAAGAATGCGCACACTCTCGTTTATAAAACACATAAGTTTTCAATAATCCCTAGGGAAAACGAACCAAAAAGCACACGCGCGCGTGGTCGCGCGCGCATGCCGAAATCCTTGAAGAACCACCTTCGGTTTCGGAAGGATTTTAAAGTCGAGTTCCCATCAAACATACAACAACACATGGTTTCGCAATAATGATGCTCTAAAGAAAGCTTACGCGCGGGCTCTTGCGATTTTTGCTTTGACAAAAAACCGTTCAATCTTTCCAGAAATGCTACCAAACGGGCTTCGCGCGCGCATGTCGAAATCTTTCGAACGGCCTTGCGCGCGTGCCGTCGCGAGAATCCTCTTCAAAAAACGGGACGAAGTGCAGACGCGCGCGTGGTCGCGCGCGCATGCCGAAATCCTTCAAAAACCTTCGGTGTCGGAAAGATTTCAATATCGTAACAAAAAAATACCCAAACATAAGGTTTCGCAACACGGATTTTCAACAAAAGCATGCGCGCGCGCTCTTGCGTCGTCGTCGTCGTCGTCGCCGTCCTCCCTCCTCCCTCGTCGTCGTCATCGTCGTCGTCGCCGTCGTCGTCCTTTGTCTTTCCTCGTCGTCGTCGTCTTGGCGTCGTCGTCGTTTCCGTCGTCGTGGTCGCCGTGGTCGTCCTTCCTTCCTCGTCGTCTTCGTCGGCGTTTCGTCGTTGTCCCTCCTATTTCGTCGCCGTATTCGTCGTCGTCGTCGTCGTATTCCCTCCTCCCTCGTCGCTGTCGTCGTCGCCGTCGTCCTCCCTCCTCCCTCGTCGTAGTCGTCTTCGTTGCTGGCGTCGTCGTCGTCGTCGTCGCTTTCGTCGTCGTCGTCGTCGGCGTCGGCGTCGTCGTCGTCGTCGTCGGCGGCGTCGTCGTCGTCGGCGTTGTCATCGTCGTCGTCGTCGTCGTCGTAAGCGTCGGCGTCATCGCCGTCGTCGGTGTTGTCGTCGTTGTCGTTGTCGTCATCGTCGAAGTCGTTGGAGACGTCGTCGGTGTCGTCGTAGTCGTTGTCGGCGGCGTCGTCGTCATCGTCGTTGTCGCTGTCGTCGTCGGTGTCGCAGCCAAGTGCAATTGGTACCCACCGTCACGGTCTAAAGAAGTATTGCGACCAAGTTGCGGGTGGGAAGATGGGATGTTTGCACGAGCAGTGGAGAGGACAGCTTCAAGTTGAGCAAGTGATTGATTCTCTTTTCTTAAAAAGATGAACTCTACCCCCCCCCCCGGCGTTATCCCCACCCCTTTCGGGTATGTAAATCATGAACGATTCTGACCACATGTCCATCCTGAATATGAATTTGCACTATCCCAGGGGGGTCGGTATCGCTCCCCCTGAAGTCCCCATGTACAAAGCAATACGCGAGGAATTGTTTGTTCTAACATAAGACTGTTCCACGAATCCCTTGCACAAAAATGGACGAAGCGCACACGCGCGCGTCGTCGCGCGCGCATACCAAAATCCTTCAAAAACCTTCGGTGTCGGAAGGATTTCGCAATCGAGCTCCCGCAAAACATAAAAAAACACATGGTTTCGCAACACTAACGCGCGAAATCTTAAGAAATCCATCGGGGTGTTCAAGATTTTTACAAAATGCTACCAAACGGGCTTCGCGCGCGCGCATGTCGAAATCTGTCGAACGCCCTTGCGCGCGTGCCGTCGCGAGAATCCTCTGCAAAAAAAACGTAACGAAGTGCAGACGCGCGCGTCGTCGCGCGCGTATGCCGAAATCCTTCAAAGACCATCGGTTTCGGAAGGATTTCAAAATCGTGTCCAAAAACATACAAAAACACAACGTTTCGCAACACGGATGTTCAACAAAAGCGTGCGCGCGCGCTCTTGCGTCGTCGTCGTCGTCGTCGTCATCGTCCCCGTCCTCCCTCCTCCCGCGTCGTCGTCGTCGTCGCCTGCGTCGTCCTCTGTCTTTCCTAGTGTTCGTCATCGTCGTCCTCTTTGGCGTCGTGGTCGTTTCCGTCGTCGTTGTCGCAGTGGTCGTCCTTCCTCCTCCTCCCTCGTCGTCGGCGTCGTCGTTGTCGTCGTCGTCGTCTTTCCTCCTCCCTCGTCGTTGTCGTCGTCGGCGTCGCCGTCCTTCCTCCTTCTTCGTCGTTCGCGTCGTCGCCGTCCTCCCTGCTCCCTCGTCGTTGTCGTCGTTGTCGCCGTCGTCGTCCTCCCTCCTCCGTCGTCCTCGTCTTCGTTGGCGACGTCGTCGTCGTCTTCGTCGTCGTCGTCGGCGTCGTCGTCGTCGTCGACGTCGGCGTCGTCGTCGTCACCGCCGTCGTCGTCGTCGTCGTCGTCGTCGTCGGCGTCGGCGTCGTTGACGTCGTCGTCGTCGTCGTCGGTGTCGTCGTTGTCGTCGTCGTCGTCGTTGTCGTCGTTGTCGTTGTCATCGTCGTCGTCGTCGGCGTCGTCGTCGGTGTCGTCGTTGTTGTCGTCGTCGTTGTCGGCGTCGTCGAAGTCGTAGGGGACGTCGTCGGTGTCGTCGTAGTCGTTGTCGGCGGCGTCGTCGTCGTTGTCGCTGTCGTCGTCGGCGTCGCTGTCGTTGCCAACTGCCATGTGGTACCCACCGTCACGGGCATAAGAGATTTTGCAAACCAAGTTGCGGGTGGGTGGGTGGGATGTTTGCGGGAGCAGTGGAGTGGACAACTCACTACAAACAGAAATTACTTGCACCACCTAGATCGCACTGCATATTTTGTAAGAAATCACTTATTTGGGTCAACTGTTGCTAATGTTATTTTCTTCATATTATGTTCCGCAGCGACGAGAGACCCCAGACACGCCCAAATACCTCCGAAACGAAGCCGTCGTGGCCGTCGCTGCCGCCGCCGCCGCCGTCGACGTCGTCGTCTCTAGATATCCAGCGCTTCGATCCTACCGTTGCGTGGGCCTCTGGACCTCTCGATCCCTTCACCAGGGTCGGATTTTCATCTCGGGCCGCATCTCGCCCTTTCCTATCCACAAGAGGCCTCCAGCGGCCCAGTGCTACCCGAAAGAGGCCTAGAGCGCTCGCGGACGGCCTTGAGCCAGCGTGAGGACTCCCCAAAACGGCTCCGAGTAGCGCAAGAGCGTCCCAAGACAGATCCAATTCGGCCCAGGATCAGCCGAAGTCGGCATCCAATACGCCTGCTAAAATGTCACATGGCCGCCCTAAATTGTCCCGACACCTCCCCGACTGGCTGGACGGCCCCGAGACCCGGAACCGGCCTCCAAATACCATAATTCATACAGACCGGCCGCTGCGGATACTACGAGGCACCGGACGTCCGGGCTCGCCGTTCGCGCGGGCCCTCGGGGCCAGGACGAGGGGGGTTGGCGCATCGGGCGAAGGGGGGGACCAGGGGGCGAGTTAACAGAAGAGGGGGGTCATGAAATCCAGGAGATATTATGGCACGGCCATGCTCCCCCCCAGTGTGTATGTAGGTTAACGACCAAGGAGTCGAACCTGCAGAGGTGTCCGTAAGTAGAGGAAGGAGTGGGAGAGAGTAGCGATCCGTTTTCCCATGCGCCGCGGGCAGGCGGCGCTGTACCTGTTGCCAATGCCTGAGCCGAGACGGTAGCAGGATGGATGGATACAGAGGTGATGTGAGCGGAGTACTCCTTACCCTCCTCTTCGACGCCTGGTGGCCTTCGTGTCATGGCTCGGGCCTCCGTCGGCCGCCCCCGGAAATGCGGGCACCCCCTGACAGCTCTCGACGAGGCGCCGCTGCCGAAAAGCAGCCCGAGGCCCCGAGGCCCCGAGGGCGAGATGATACCGGAGAAAACCCCCAATCATAATCGTTTTAGAGCTATGGGGCTCTAAGGCTATAGGGCTATAAGGTTCTGGGGCTATAGGGCCATAGGGCTATAGATAGGGCTACGGGGCTATAGGACTATAGGGCTATAGGCATATCGGGCTATCAGGTGATATGGCTATAAGGCTATAGAGACATAGGGCTATAGGGCTATAGGGCCATAGGGCTATAAAGGCTACAAGGCTACAGGGCTATAGGGCTATAGGGCTACAGGGCTATAAGGCTACAGGGCTATAAGGCTACCGGGCACCCTGGCACCCCCGGGCACCAGGGCGTGCAGCGAAAATCGCCGACAAACCTAACCTAACCATATGAATCCGCTAGGACCCCTACAGAGGCAAGCTCTGATTGGGGAAAAACCTCCGAGAACCAACGACGAGTCCTTCTCTCACCCCGTTCCCTCTCCTCCGACGTTGCATTTTTTTTCGTGACGTAGGCCCCCAGGGACCTCGACCATATGCCCTGCCCTGAGTTGGGATCCGCCGTACTCTCTGGGCGGCTTCGAAAATGGGGCGGATTTTGTCCGCTCTACTTTTCAAGCTTCTTCGATGCCTATTCCCACCCTACTTTGCCGCCGCTGTTTCCGCAACACTTTTGCTGGAACACCCGCCCTGCTTCTCCGAGGTGGAAATTTCCGCCCCACTCTTTCGCATCGCGTGGGGTGCATTTCGGCACATCGGGAACTCAACCAAAGTACAGCGGATCCAGAGCCAGTTGGCGGCCCGCACAAGGGGGTAACGGGGGAGGGAGGAAGGCTTCTTGGAAGCACCCCTGCTTCTTAGAAGGCGCTGGCCCCACATATATGGACAAGGCCCGCGCCTTCGAAGAAGCAGGGGTGCTTCTAAAAAGCATTCCCCCCTTCCTTGAGCAGGGACCGACCGTCTCGGCATTCCTATAGTCATACCACGAAATATTCTAAGAACCCAAAAACATGTTCTAAGAACAAAACAATGTTCATAGAGCATAAACCCGATGTGTTAAAACAAGACAGACTCCGCCAGAAATGTTCTAAGAACAGTTCGTGGGATCCACAAAAGGTTCTTAGAACACTGTTTGGTAGGGCTATGGGCGAGCCAGGACGCTTCGCCACTGCTTGACTTCCCCCACGTACCCCCCTTGGCGCGTGGCCGACTCAGGGTGGCCGTCTCGACCTTTGGTGCGTCACCCAGATCGGAGGGCCCTTCGGCGCCCCCCGAGACCCGGGGCCCGGCAGCACGCAGCGGGCGCCCTCCTGCAGGAGCCACTGGCGGATCGCGCCCACGCTCCTGTCGAGGGGGAGCGTCGCGGTCGGGCACTGCTGCTTGGCGTGTCGCGGCGGTGGCCCCGGCGACACGCTGCGCCTTGCAGGCGGATGGCGTGTCGCTTCGTTCCACGGGGCGGGAGGTCGGGAGAAGCTCGAGCCGACGTGGATAGCGTGTCGCGCCGCAGCGTAGTGGGCCAGAACTGGCGGAGCGACGCGCTCTCCCTGAGCATCTCCCCCTGAGCCTAAGGTCAGGAACTTTTGCTTGGCGCGTCGCAGCGGTGGCCCAGGCGACACGCTACGCCCTGCGAGCGGAGAGCGTCTCGCTCCGCTCCGCGGGGCGGGCGGCTGGGAAAGGCTCGGGGCGTTGTCGCTTGAGGACCACGACGCGGAACGTGGATAGTCTCGCACCGAAGCGCGGTGGGCCAGAACCGGACGGCGCGACATGCTACAGTCGGACCTAGGCCAGAAGAGCATCGCTCAAGAACATGAGACCCTCCGCCAGCCAAACTGAAGAACATTCGACGGTGCCCTCCCCAGGGTACACAAGCGCACGAAGGCAACCAGGGCACCCTCCCCGAACCGACCTCGATCTCACACCTCGGCCCGACTGTGAGCAAAACGTCCCGACCGCACCCGCCCCGGAAGTTGTCCAACGCTCCTGTCGCACTCGCCGGGGATGTAGTAGGCCTGCCTCCACTCGGAGCCCGTGGTCGGGCGCCCGCGGCGCAGCCAGCGCTCCTGGCAGCGGAGAGGGGGAGAGGGGGAGAGGAGGAGGGGGAGGGGGACAGGGGGAGGAGGAGGAGGAGGAGGAGGAGGAGGAGGAAAATGAAGAAGAGGAGGAAAAAGAGGAGGAGGACCAGTGTAAAACCAAGACCCATCAACGATGTTGGAATAAACCCTCCCTCTAGGCTCCCTCTTCATAGGTACCTACAAGGACTCAATTCCAATGGGGGAAGCGCCCCGTTGGGAGACAACTGCTTGAAGATCCTGAAATGTGCCAAAACATCGTTCTCGGGACTCCAGCGCCACGAGCCAACGTGACCCTTACGATTTGACGGTCCTGAATCGTGCCAGAACACCGTTCCTGGGACTTCACCACCACGAATCAAAGTAATTGTTGCGCTCTGACAGCCCTGAATCTTTTCAAAACGCCATTACTGGTACGCTAACCATGGGAACCCATGAAACTCCCACAATGAAGTGGAAAGAATGTGCGCAACACTACAGCGAAAACCACATTTTGAAAAGGAGCCGCCCTCAATCCGCGAAACCCTTACCAATCAATAAAACAAATGCGCGCGGCGCTAAAGCGAGACCGACGACTTTGAAAACATCCCGCCCTCAAACCGTGAAGCTCTTGCAAAGTATTATAACGAATGTTCGCGGCGCTAAGGCGAGAACCACATGTTGAAAACCACCCGCCCCCAACCTGCGGAACGCTTGCAGTTTTTAAGCGGCGAATGCACACGGGGCTAAGGCGAGAACCACATTTTGAAAACGACCCGCCCTCAATCCGCGAAATACCCATCGCATGGGCCCGTCTGCCGCTCTGGCGGCTATGTTGCCACGTCGCCACCCCGTCGTCGCCTCGTCGCCACACAACACATAAAATGCACCACATACTGTAACACATGTAGTCTCTTTTCTGACAGAATCGTAAGATCTACCCCCCTGAAATGATCCCCCTGTTGCGTATTGAAATTTACATATGATTCTGCCACTTCACCCATCCGAAATACGATTTCATACCATCCCAGACAGGCCAGTATCAGCACCGCCCCTCATCCGCTGCAACACATGCTTCGCGCGCACTCGTTGATCAACACTCAGCAGTGTTGAAAAATCCCTTGCGCAAAAAAAACGAGGTGCACATGCGATCGTCGTCGCACGCGCATTCAAAAATCATTCGGAAACCAGGGTCACAATCCACTGTCCCAAAAATAAAGACATGGTTTCGAAAACAAATATTTCAAAAGCTTGCGTCCTCGTATTTGCGACTTTTTAAGAAAACCATAAGTTTTTCAACCTGTTCACGCCATGTTCCCAAGTGGGTTTTTTCAATCGTGCGCGCCGAAATCGTTCGGACGCCCCTTCGCGCGCGCGCTTTCGCAAGACCCCCTTGCAACAACATTTGACGAAGTGAACACGCGCGCGTCGTCGCGCGCGCGCCGAAATCCTTCAGAGACCTGGGGGTTCGTCAGGATGCCATAATCGAGCTTCTCGGAAACAAAGTAAATCAAACACACATGGTTTTGCAACGCCAATTTCCAATACAAGAAACGCCTGCGTTCCCGCTTTTGAATTCTTAAGAAACGCGGAATTTTCAACATTGTCAAAAAATCAAACAGGCCTCGCGCCGCATGTCGAAATCATTCGAATGCCTTTGCGGGCGTGGGTGGGGGTCACGGACCGGGTCAAATTATATCATGCAGGGCGCTGTCGCGCATCGGCCGCGCGCGCATGTCGAACTCCTTCCAAAACCTGCCTCATCGACGCGAGGACGCCGTCATCGTCGTCGGCGTGATCAGCATCAGCGCCGTCACTGGCCTTGCTGCCGTCGTTGTTATCATCGTCGCCAGCATCGCTACCATTGTCGACGTTGCCATGGCACCGCCCGCCCAAGTCGCCGACTCGCACTAAACTGCCCGCTGGGAAATGCTCAGCGGTCACCCCCACCGCGGCCGCGTCGGTCGCGTCAAACTAGCTGACCGCTGCGCGCGCCAGCATGCGCGGGCTAGCGCGGCCGCAGAGATGCACCAGCCAACACCAAGCACTCATCGCAATCGCCGCCGCATGGTTTATGCAAACCTAGCTGCGGGTGGGTGGCTGGGATGATTGCGCGAGTAGTGAAATTGATAACTCACTGCGAACAGAAATCATTCTCCTTTCTAAAAAGAGAATAGACTCTGACCCCCCCCCCCGGGCGTTATCAGTCCCCCTTTCGGGTATGCAAATCATATACGATTCTGAGCACACGTCCATCCTAAAAATGAGTTTGCACTATCCCTGGGGGGCCGGTATCGCCCCCCCTGAGGTTCCCTGGTGAAAAACGATACGCGGGGACATTTTTTGTTCTACCATAAGACTTGTTTGCGATTCCCTTGCAAAAGATGGGACGAAGTGCGCACGCGCGCGTCGTCGCGCGCGCATGCCGAAATCCTTCGAAAACCTTCGGTGCCGGACGGATTTCGCAATCGAGTTTCCCAAACTAAAACAAAAGCACAGGGTCTCGCAACACTGATTTGCTAAAAAAGCTTACGCGCGAGCTCTTGCGAAATCTGAAGAAAACCATGGTTTGTTTAAGATTTTCACAGAATGTTACCAAACGGGCTTCGCGCGCGCATGTCGAACTCTGTCGAACGCCCTTGCGCGTGTGCCGTCGCGAGAATCCTCAGGAAAAAATGGGGCGAAGTGCAGACGCGCGCGTCGTCGCGCGCGTATGCCGAAATCCTTCAAAACCCTCCGGTTTCGGAAGGATTTAAAAATCGTGTCCAACAAAAACATACAAAAACACGAGGTTTCGCAACACGGATTTTCAACAAAAGCGTGCGCGCGCGCTCTTGCGTCGTCGTCGTCGTCGTTGTCGTCGCCGTCCTCCCTCCTCCCGCGTCGTCGTCGTCGTCGCCTACGTCGTCCTCTGTCTTTCCTCGTGTTCGTCGTCGTCGTCCTCTTTGGCGTCGTGGTCGTTTCCGTCGTCGTTGTCGCCGTGGTCGTCCTTCCTCCTCCTCCCTCGTCGTCGTCGTCGTCCGTCGTCGGCGTCTCGTCGTCGTCCCTCCTATTTCTTCGCGTCGTCGTCGTCGTCGTCGTTCGTCGTCGTCTTCCCTCCTCCTTCGTCGTTGTCGTCGTCGGCGTCGCCGTCCTTCCTCCTTCTTCGTCGTTCGCGTCGTCGCCGTCCTCCCTCCTCCCTTGTCGTTGTCGTCGTTGTCGTCGTTGTCGCCGTCGTCGTCCTCCCTCCTCTCTGGTCGTCGTCTTCGTTGGCGACGTCGTCTTTGTCGTCGTCGTCGTCGTCGGCATCGGCGTCGTCGTCGTCTTCGTCGTCGTCGACGTCGGCGTCGTCGTCGTCGCCGCCGTCGTCGTCGTCGTCGGCGTCGTTGACGTCGTCGTCGTCGTCGTCGTCGTCGTCGTCGGTGTCGTCGTTGTCGTCGTCGTCGGCGTCGTCATCGTCGTCGTTGTCATCCTCGTCGTCGTTGTCGTCGGCGTCGTCGTCGTCGGCGTCGTCGGCGTCGTCGTCGTCGTTGTCGCTGTCGTCGTCGCTGTCGCTGCCAAGTGCCATTTGGTACCCACCGTCGCGGTCTTAATAGGTTTTGCAAGCCAAATTGCGGGTGGGTGGGTGGGATGTTTGCGCGAGCAGTGGAGGTGGTCAAGCGCGGTGCAGGGTAGTCAATTCTTCTTTCTGAAAGAGTCATAGATTCGACCCCCCCCCGGACTTATCGGTTCCCCCGCGCGTGCTGCAAATCACATATGATTCTGACCACATGTCCATCCTAAATATGAACTCGTACCATCCCAGCCAAGCCGGTATCCCCCCCCCTGCGGTTCCCTGTCAAATAACACTATGCGGGGACATTTTTCTTTCTAACATAACACTTTGTCACGAATCCCTTGCAAAAAATAGGACGAAGTGCACACGCGCGCGTCGTCGCGCGCGCATGCCGAAATCCTTCAAAAACCTTCGGTGCCGGAAGGATTTCGCAATCGAGTTTCCGAAAAACATACTAAAACCATGGTTTCGCAACACTGATTTGCTAAAAAACTTCCGCGCGAGCTCTTGCGAAATCTCAAGAAAACCATTGGTTTTCAAGATTTTCGCAAAATGCTACCAAACGGGCTTCGCGCGCGCGCATGTCGAAATCTGTCGAACGCCCTTGCGCGTGTGCCGTCGCGAGAATCCTCTGCAAAAAATGGGACGAAGTGCAGACGCGCGCGTCGTCGCGGACGTATGCCGAAAACCTTCAAAACCCATCGGTTTCGGAAGGATTTCAAAATCGTGCGTCCAAAAAACCTACAAGAACCCAAGGTTTCGCAACACGGATTTTCAACAAAAGCGTGCGCGCGCGCTCTTGCGTCGTCGTCGTCGTCGTCGCCGTCCTCCCTCCTCCCGCGTCGTCGTCGTCGTCGCCTACGTCGTCCTCTGTCTTTTCTCCTGTTTGTCGTCGTCGTCCTCTTTGGCGTCGTGGTCGTTTCCATCGTCGTTGTCGCCGTGGTCGTCCTTCCTCCTCCTCCCACGTCGTCGTCGTCGTCCGTCGTCGGCGTCTCATCGTCGTCCCTCCTATGTCGTCGCCGTCGTCGTCGTCGTTGTCGTCGTCGTCTTCCCTCCTCCCTCGTCGTTGTCGTCGTCGGCGTCGCCGTCCTTCCTCCTTCGTCGTCGTTCGCGTCGTCACCGTCCTCCCTCCTCCTTCGTCGTTGTCGTCGTTGTCGCCGTCGTCGTCCTTCCTCCTTCCTCGTCGTCGCCTTCGTTGGCGTCGTCGTCGTCGTCTTCGTCGTCGTCGGCGTCGGCGTCGTTGTCGTCGTCGAAGTCGTCGGAGACGTCGTCGGTGTCGTCCTAGTCGTTGTCGTCGGTGTCGTCGCAGTCGGTCTTAACAGGTTTTGCAAACCAAGTTGCGGGTGGGTGGGTGGGATGTTTGCGCGAGCAGTGGAGATGACGACTTCAAGTTCCGCAGAGTGGACTGCACCACCTAGATTCTGCTTTCTGAAAGAATAGACTGTGCCCCCCCCCCCCGCCCCCAGATTTAACGGGCCACCTGTTCGCATTGCAATGTGCATGCGATTCTGCCCCATCGTCCATCCGACCTGTGAATTCATACTATCCCAGCCAAGCCGGTATCGCCCCCCCCCCCCGCCATCCTTTGCAAAAAGATACTACGCGCGCGCACTCGTTCATCACACATCATATGTTGTCACGAACCCATTGCAAAAAATGAAACGAAATGCAGACGCGCGCGTCGTCGCGCGCGCATGCCGGAATCATTCAAAAATCTGCGATTTCGAAAGGATTTCAAAATCGAGTGTCTAAAACACATACAAAAAATGTCGCAACACTGATCCGCTTCAAAAATTTACGCGCGCGCTCTTGCGAAATCTTGAGAAAACTATAGGTTATCCAAAATTTTCAAGAAAGCTACCAAACGGGCTTCGCGCGCGCGCATGTCGATTTTTTTCGAACGCCCTTGCGCGCGTGCCGTCGCGAGAATCCTCTGCAAAAAAAGGGACGAAGTGTGCACGCGCGCGTCGTCGCGCGCGCATGCCGCAATCCTTCAAAAACCTTCGATTTCGAAAGGATTTCAATATCGAGTGTCCAAATAACATTCAAAAACACAGGGTTTCGCAACATGGCGTTTCAACAAAAGCGTGCGCGCGCGCTCTTGCGTCGTCGTCGTCGCCGTCCTCCCTCCTCCCTCGTCGTCGTCGTCGTCGTCGCCGTCGTCGTCTTCTGTGTTTCCTCGTCGTTGTCGTCGTCTTGGCGTCGTCGTCGTTTCCGTCGTCGTTGTCGCCGTGGTCGTCCTTCCTCCCTCGTCGTCTTCGTCGGCGTTTCGTCGTCTTCCCTCCTATTTCGTCGCCGTCGTCGTCGTCGTCGTCGTTTTCCCTCCTCCCTCGTCGTTGTCATCGTCGGCGTCGCCGTCCTCCCTCCTTCTTCGTCGTTCGCGTCGTCGCAGTCCTCCCTCCTCCCTCGTCGTTGTCGTCGTTGCCGCCGTCATCGTCCTCCCTCTTCCCTCGTCGTCGTCGTCTTCGTTGGCGACGTCGTCGTCGTCATCGTCTTCGTCGTCTTCGTCGTCGTCGTCGTCGGCGTCGTCGTCGGCGTCGTCGTCGTCGTCGTCATCGTCGTCGTCAACGTCGGCGTCGGCGTCGGCGTCGGCGTCGTCGTCGTCGGTGTCGTCGTCGTCGTCGTCGTCGTTGTCGGCGTCGTGGAAGTCGTTTGAGACGTCGTCGGTGTCCTCGTAGTCGTTGTTGGCGGCGTCGTCGTCGTCGTTGTCGCTGTCGTCGTCGGCGTCGCTGTCGCTGCCAAGTGCCATTTGGTACCCACCGTCATGGTCTTAAAAGGTTTTGCAAACCAAGTTGCGGGTGGGTGGGTGGGATGTTTGCACGAGCAATGGAGTGGACAACTCACTGCGAACAGGAATTAACTGCACCACAAATATTGCAATCCGTAAAATTCACGAAAGCAGATCGCACAACACAAAGCTTACACCACATTTATTGCCCCACACATATTGCACAACGCAAATATTGCACCACACAGATTGCACCACACTGAATGCACAATACATGTATGGAACCACATACATATGCACAACCTATATGGCTAGAAAAACGTTGCTTTGGGTCCACGATGGCTAACAAATATGTACTGGTACCATCAACCGGAATGCATCCACAGAGCCGAGGAGCACTAGTAGCATGGACACTGACTTCCATCTTGAAAAATGAAGCTCAGAGAGCCTCTAAGGAGAGAGAGAGAGAGAGACAGAGAGAGCGAGAAGGGGAGCGAAGGGGGCAGAATGGAGGACAGAGAAGTAGCTTGGAGGGGGAGGTGGGTCACTCCTCCCCCTCCTCATCATCGTCATCACCGTCATCGTCGTCATCATCACCACCGTCAGCATGCCCCTCTGCCTCTCCGTCCTCCTCCTGCTGGGCAGGATAGGCAGGCCACGTCCTGGTAGTGGAGAAAGGCCAGGTCGCTATCCAGGAACCGGTTGCTGAAGAGGTGGGCCACGAACTGCGGCAGCCTGCGGACGGACAGCGACTGGACATCTCGCTGTGCACGCGGCAAGCGACGCGGCGAACGACGACGGCGACGGCGATGGCGACGGCAACGGCGGCGGCGGCGGCGACGACAACGACGACGACAAACAGCGAGAACTACAACCGACGACGAACGAAAGCGCCGATCAGGAGAAAGACGACGAAGACGACGAACAACGAGGACGTTGACTGTGTTTTGTGGGCCACACTCTTCCCCTAAGCATGCTCCGTTAGGCCCCTCTTGGTCTCTCTTGGGCCCCCTGCTGGCCTGCAAGATCGGCGCCCCGGGCCCCCATGAGCGCGTCTTCTGCCCAACCTCGCCGACGACGCGAAAGCTTCAAAACATTGCAAAACGATGTGGTGATGAATGATCTTCGCTGGGCAAGGGGTCGCCCACCATTCTCGGGCTCGCCCGTGACACCCCTTGATCTGAAAAAAAAGCACGCGCGGGACTCTTTCCCCTCTCGGTGTGTTGATGATCCTGGGCCCGACTTGGGCCCACAACGGCGGCCAAACGGGGCTTGGCGCGGGCATGGATTAGATGGCTTTCTGACGGGGCACGGGCCCAGCACGGGGACGCTCGCGCCTGGGCCGGCCAAGACCTCCTGGGCCTGGGGCCGCCTCGGGCCTCTTTTAGGATCTTTCTTGGGGGCCGTCTCGGAGCCCTCGTCGACTTTTCACTGGCGCCTCTTGAAGCGTCTTCGGGCCGTCTGAGAGCACTTAACCCCCATTCTGGCGATTCCTGGGCCCCCGCCGTTGGAATCAAACATCCCTAGAACCAGCGCCCCCGTCACTGATCTGTGAGGCACGACCCATGGGCCGATAAGACTATGATCTGACCATCTGGATACTTCACCGTCGATCAGCCACACAACATACATATCCCACCGGCGATGAGATGTATGAGAACGGAGCGTACGAAGCGGTACAACAACTCACCTGCGGGACCATCTTTGATTCTTTCTGGTATAATTCTAGTCACCCCGTCTTGGGACCGTCTTGGGCTTCCCAGCGAGAGCTGGAATGTGCGGGCGGTGAACGCTAAGCGCCTCGAAAAACAGCTTCAGTAGGACCATGCGCTGAGTAGGTGGGGCACGGGGCATGCAGGTTCTCAGCGAAGAAAACTCACAACAGTCTCGCCAAGGGCCTCCCCCTAGGCTGAGCTGCAAGCCACGGTGCCCGGACTGCCAGAAGTCACGGAGCCCCAGGCAGGGGAGGCCGGAGGCCTTCGTCAGCAGTAGTTCCTCCTCCAGCTCCTCCTGCTCCCCCTCCTCCTCCTCCTCCTCCTCCTCCTCCTCCTCCTCCTCCTCCCTCCTTCGGCCGCAGCAGTTCCTCGTCCCTCCTCCTCCACGTCCTTCTCATGTTGGCGGCGCGCACAAGGCAGGAAGGCCAGCTGTACACCAGCACCGACCCTGGCCAGGATCACCCCGGGCGCAGGCTCGGTGCATACGCACTCCTGCCTTGGGCAGAGTGCGTATATCGGGGGCGCGCAAACGTGGATTAGCGATCCATGGATGTGGCGCGCGGTCGCCAAATCCATGGATCGGGGGAGGTGCCCTCCCCAAAAATGCGGCCGGTGCCGCCTCGTTCAGCGGCGCAAAAATCCGCGATTTCCCATGGAAGCGGGACCCGTCGCTAATCCACGCCCCCTTGATCCATGTTTGCGATCGCCTGAATCTACACCGATCCTGGGCCCAGGATCGGCCTGGCCAGTATGGGTGTAGGTGTACAGTTGGTGCCCCCCGACAAGGGGGCAGGGGGAGGGAAGGCTTGTGAGACGGAGGCTGCTTCTTGGAAGGCGCGGCCCTGCATCTACAGAGAGGGCCCGCGCCTTCTGAGATGCAGGGATGCTTCTAAGGAGCCTTTCCCCCCCTGCCCCACTTCTGCGCGTGGCTGATGCTATACAATGGGGGCGACGACGACGCCAGCGATCGCACGCGAGCACATGCGATAGGCCCTGCTGAGGCGGAGGCTTGGTTATGAAGCCGCCGTCCTCGTCTGGGTCCTTCGTGTTCACGATGATTGCCCTGCCAGGTCGCTGGACAACGCAAGCATCGAGCTTCGAGTCGAGGACCGAGATTCGGGGATCAAGGCGTCTACATGGCTTTCCACTTTTTGGGCCTGCGGGGACCTCCTCGTCGCGACGGCTGGATCCGCATCGAAAGTCAAGCCAGAACGCACCCCACGACAGGCCCAGGGCCGATTTCCGACTCCCTCCCTCGCGCCATGGAAAGATCACGACGGGGGGTTCTTGGCAACGCTCGGCCTCCAAGGGGGCAGCCCCCACCTCGCCTCGATTGTTCTTCGATGCGATGGAGGTCTGGGCCTTCCTTCGAGGCGGCCCAGACGCTCCGTGCCCTCTCCGCTCTTGGATGCGTCGAGCAAGGGGGCCAGGAGCAGGTGGGTTAGCACACCATTGCCCGAGGCATCTCTGCGGACGAGCGGGGAACCAGGGGACGCTGCGAAAGAAGCACAAGAGAATGGGGGCCAAATGATCTAGGCGATGCCATTGTCCCGCCCGTAAATGACACAACCTAGACGTTGATCTTCGTCGTCTGGCTTTGGGGTCGCAGCTCGGGCCTCTGGCGGCCGTTCGGAACGATCCCGGCTCCAGAAGAACACCCTCGGCGAGGCGCAGTGGCCGGAGAGCACCCCGAAGCTGGAAACGCCGCCAGGAGCCGACGAAAGCGCCCGAACGCCTCGGAACCTCGAACCTATCGCCTTCCTTCTGAGGGGGACGGTAAGGGAGACCGGCTCAGACAGGGACTCATCGACCTGGAATCGGCGATACATCGCCGATACATCGGCGATAGGCTCCCGATTACAAATCCGCACTGTCCTGGGCGGGGTGGGCTATCGGGCCCCTATCGGCAATCAGTGGGCGATTGGGGGGCCGATGCACCCCACGCACCCGAGGAGACCATCCCTCCTCACGTTGCTCTGACTCTTCTTCCCAGAACTCCGACGTCAAACGTCCACCCCCAGAGGTCTGGACTGATGGGCCAATGTCCACCACCACTACAATAGGTAGGACGGGGGAGATGGGAGGATGGGGAGGTCCTCCTCCTCCTCCTCCTTCTTCTTATTATTATTATTACTATTATTATTATTATTAGTATTATTATTATTATTATTATTATTATTATTATTTTTCTTCATCTTCTCAATTTTCTTTTCTTCTTCTCCTCCATCATCATCATCAACCTTCTCCTCCTCCTCCACCTCCTCCTCCTCTTCCTCTTACTCCTCTTCTTCTTATATTTATCCTTCTTCATCTTATTAATAATATTATTATAATTCCTCTTCCTCCTACTCCTCCTCCTTCTCCTCCTCATCCATCTCCTACTTATGGTAGTGGTGGTGGAAAATCGGCCCATCATGGACCCCCTCCCCAGGGCCCGTTGTCCATCCAACGTTGTCTTTCCACGCCCCCCCGGGTGCCAGGTGAGGGCCTCCCCTGGGGCCGAAAGCGTGTAAAAACTTCCCGCCGTGATTTCTTCGCGACGAGACCCTCCGATACACCGATGTTCTCAGGATCAAGGCGGTGCAATAGGCTGCGGCGCACGCCGCTCGAGGCGGCTCTCAAACGTAAATGCTTACGGTTGGGGCGCACGCCTGCGTTGGTATTGCCCCTCGCCATGCACTGCGATCTACAATTCTGAATGATACTTGCCTACTTTGCAGACCCGGCGAGCCTCTAAGAGACTGGCTTTTTGAATTCAAAAACCAGACTCTGGTTCCGCCGTACTTTGAATGCTTCTCCTATTAAAAATGATACCGAGAAAAACCGCCGTCAGGGCTATGGGCTAGGGGGCTTTAGGGCTATAGGACTATTGAGTTATAGGGCTATAGAGCTATAGAGTTGTAGGGCTATAGGGCTCTTGGGCTATAGGGCTAGGGGGCTATAGGGCACCCCCGCACACCCGGGCCACGGGCACTTGGGCGTGCAGCGAAAATCGGCGGCCAACCTCACCCCCGGGCACCCCCGGGCACCCGGGCGTGCAGCGAAAATCGGCGGCTAACCTAACCATATGTATCCGCTAGGACCCCTACAGAGGCAAGCTCAGATTGGGGAATTGTACCGGATAGGCACCCCACACGATTCGAAACAATACACGGGAACAGCGACGGCAAAGTAAGGCGAAACTCGGCATCAAAGAAGCTTGAAACATAAGGCGGCAATTTCCGCCCTGCCTGAAAAATCGCCCGATCGCCACGAGTACGGCGGATCCAGAATCAGGGAGGCGGCGGGGGCCCTTCGACGCACCGCTCCTGGACAAGACCAGCGCCACGGGGACAGTGAACACATTGAGCGGTCCCGACTCCCTCCCGGAGTAATTTCTAGCCGCGGATTCTGTTCGGTGACCGTGGGGCGCGGAAACTAGCCCTGGAGGCCGTAATCGATGAAGAACATGGCGATCGAAAAACAAATATCTCCGGAAATATTGGTTCGACGCCCCCGACGCTCCTGGACCAGCCGGGCGCCACGGGGATGATGAACACGTTGAGCAGGAATGGGACCTTGCCCTCGCCATCCTTGATGCCACGCCTTGGCGGTGGCGGCCCGGCGTCGGGGGGCTCTGAGAGCGCAGGCAGGAGGTCGGCGGGGGGGGGGAAGGATCAGGAAGGAGGGAGGGAGGAGGAGGAAATTTCGGAAAAGGAGGAAAAGAGGGGAGAGGAGAGAAGGAGGAGGAGGAGGAGGAGGAGGTCTTTTTGGTCACGATTGACAGAACCCTGTTTAGCCACCCTTGCCAGTCCTGCCTTGCTGCTTCCTTCTCGGCGATCCGAGCACGCAGCGCTACAAACCTGTCGATGTGGTTGGCATGTGCAGCCACAGGCTGTGGGCTTAAGGCAGCGACGAGTGCATCTGCCTTAGGCCCAATGAAAGATGCCTTCTGAACGGCACAGGTGATTGCCCGGTCTTTTTAGGATGCAAGCCTCTCCTCGAACGATGCAATATTGTGAAGCCAGTGCTGCTCCTGTCCTCGTCCGAGCGGGGTCTGGGGCAGGGCTGGGCCAACATGTGAAGCCTAAGTGGGGCAAAATGACCACACGGCATGCAACATAACAAGGGTTGTGTTTGATGCTCGACCTGCGTGCTGGTCAAGTGATGGCCATGTTTAGGGCATGAGGTCAAAAGCTGCTTAACTGACTCAGGGAACCTGCCGCAGCCCACATCAGGCCGATCGTGGATGGGTCCCGTGAAACTTGAGGCAGCTGGTGCACCTCCTGTGGCTCCACAGCCAGGGCTCCCACGAGTGCCATCCCGCCACCTCCTTAACAGACAGTGACCTTGCGCTCTCGATTCGGGGACCTCTGATGCGTGGCCCTCGGGAGCGGAGGCAGGAGGACGCCAGCAGCAAGGCGCGATATCGTTTCCAGCTCCTTGATTGAGCTGCTTACCAAATCGCGTTCCCCCTGCGACGGTTGGGGGTGTATAAGGATAGCCTGTTTAGCCTCGGCATCCGCCTGCCAGCTGGTCTGGCCAGTCCGTCTGCCAGGGGCTGGAAGCATGTCTCTCACTTAATCACGATGGGCTGGGGTGTAAACAGCTGGGGCATACCTATTGTTAACCATATGCTGTAGAGCCCCGGGTCTGAGCCCCGAATACCTATGACGATGCGACAACTGCTGTTGTGGCGGACTGGTGTGCAACCGAACTGGATTCATACAGTCACTGTAGCACGCATTACCATATATTGGCACGACGAGGTAACAAGCTCAACTGCAGCTGCTCCGCAGCCTGGCCCGTCTGAGGAAGAGAAAGCCACACTGTTCCAGCAGCCTTCTCCTGCCTTTCATCCCAGCTATCCTGCTGCTGCTGCTGCTGCTTGTCGATGGCCTTCTTGGCCCCGAGGTCGTCCTCCCACGAAAGTGAAACTCCTAGCGCTCGTTGCACCAGTCGGCCTGGGGGCCTGACGAGGGGGCCTGACGAGGGGGCCTGTCGCAAAGTAGAGTCCAGGCGGATGCTGACACCCTCGCCTGGGCAAGACAGACCCAAAAGCTGCTGGATCTGGAGCTGCAAATTCTGCCTGAGCTGACCAAACGAAACGTGATCGACCAAACCATCGGGTCTGCACTGGTCGGGCCGGGCCTCGCTTCCTCCTGGGAGTGGCGTGTCCCCAATCACCCGACGCTCGACTCCTCTGGAATGACCTGCGACCGCGCCTTGCCATCACTCGGACATCTATTCCCCGGTGTGTGTTGTCGGTGTCGTGCGCTTGTATCCTAGATGGTCCAGATTTCCTGGCGCTGGTCTCGCCGAAGAAGAGATGCGCACATCGGAGCGATGCCGCGGGCCCTTCCGGGCCTCTAGACAGCCAACGGATACACATACATACATACATACATACATACATACATACATACATACATACATACATGCATACATACATACATACATACATACATACGTACATACATACATACACATACACATACACACACATACATACATGCATACATACATACATACATACATGCATGCATGCATGCATACATGCATGCACGCGTGCGTGCGTGCGTGCATGCACATACATACACACATACACACATACACACATACACACATCTACACATGCACATAAACACATACATACATACATACATACACACATACATACATGCATATATTACATTACGTTACATTACATTACATTACATTATATTACATTACATTACATTACATTGAATTACATTACATTACATTACATTACATTACATTACATTACATTTACATTTAATTTACATTACATTACATTACATTACATTACATACATGCATACACCCATACACACATACACACGCATACATACATACATCCATACATACATACATGCATACATACATACTAGAACCATCGCGCGCGCTTCGCGCGCGCTCAAGTTCTAGCTAGGCTTGATAGGCTAACTCATGTAATATACAGTAGGTCGCTTCTTGCGTCCAGGGATTCCCTTGGAGGCCCTGCGCAAGCCTCGAAATCGTATAGAAGGGGAATTGCGGAAACGCAGAAATCATTCATTTCCTTTTAGGTATTCAACGATTTGGGGCCCTCAAAGGCTTCCTGGGTTCTTTTGTGGGAGGTGAGGGGGGTGGTCTGAATTGTGGTCTGTTGTGCAAGAGTAGATCGGGAGCCAAACTTGGACAACCAAAATTATGGGACTTCTATGTTTTTCCAATTCCTCGGCACTGTTCGGCGCTGTCTTTTGTTTGTGCCTCGGGGGTTTTGTTAGCCGGGCCCCTCAGGGGTGTGGGATCTTCCGGATTCCCTGGGGGTTCTGGAGGCCTCCTGGAGGCCTGGAGAGCCGTCGGAAGGGTGTCTCGGGCTGCGCGGGAACGTGTCAGGCCGTTCTTTACGTTCTGGGGGCTCCTTGGGGTCGTCTTGGGCTGTCCTTGGGCGTCTTGGGGCCCCTCCGGGAACCTGGGAGGCGCGGTACCGGCCAGATGTCAGGGGATGTGTGGGATTTCCGAATAGGAATCCACTTTCAAATAAAAAACAATTCTGGAAATTCCCTTTTTTTCCAACTCCTCGATCTTCGAGGGTTGGAAGAGGGAAACGTGAGAAGGCGAAAAACATTGGAAAAGCAATTGGAAATCGACGATTTGACCCTCTCTTTTTTTGTTCCGCGCTGGCGAGGGGCTGCGAGCCTGGTTTTTGGTATCTTTTAAGCAGCCTCGCCGCTGGCGCGCAGGCTCACTGGCCGAGAAGCCGACTGTACCTCGCGCTTCCAATGCGACACCCGGTAGGTCTGCTCAGAAACAGCAAAATCGCGTGATGCACACATCACCCTTTGCAGCGGCGTGCACGGGGGACCCCGGGCATTGGCCAGCGTGGATCCGGACATCCTAGTGCACGGGCGTTGCTCACGCGCGCCCACGAGGGCGGCCTCAAAAACAGATGCCGTCACGCTCCTGAGGACTTGCCTCTAAAAATTCTAGTGACCCCACAGAGTGCCCCACCGAAGGGCCCAGTGGCACCGCCCGCATTGCATCACCCTACCCATTCCGACACACTAACTCACTCCACTCGTGAACTCAACCCGTCCCAATGTTGCGATTTTGGGCCCAGCGCTGCCGCGGAGAAAGCCGCCTGTGGGATGTGACCCCCTGGCTGGTGGACACATCAGGAAAATCTCTGCCTGCCCGCGCATCTCAAGACGCGGAAAATGGCTACATTGCCGCCCCATTCACTGAACCATCGCCCTGCGAGAAACGGATGCTCGGCGGGTCTGGACATGGAGAAACAACAATCTATGTACAAACTAGCTCTCCAAGTTGTGGGAAACGCATGGGGACTATGGTCCAGTCCGCCAACTGGCCGACGGCTCACGACCCCGAACCAGAATAGACCAGCAGCTTGAGCGGCAACGAGCTAGGACGCTCGGATATCCTCCAACTTCACCGCCGACGGTGGCCAGCTGCGCGGTGGTGGGGAGATCCACTGCAAGATCCGCTGGGCGATGACACTTCTTTACCATCGCAGCGGAGCGTCCCTCGAAGTGTGGTGATGACGCTGCTGATGATAATGGTGATGATGATGGTGGTGATGGTGCCGCAATGGGGACATGATGGTGTCACTATGGGAATCCCCCTCGGTCGCATCATAGCAGCACTGCAGCGCACCGAACGCTGTGTGGGAGACGAACCTATTGGAGACACACCTGTTGGAGAGACACACACACATATCCTGGGCGTGGGGAAAGAACACGGACGGACCCGAAGAGAGGAGAGTGGCGTCCAGAGCGTCCGCGCCCGTGAGGGGCTGCCGCAGATCCCTCAAGGTCCTGCCAGAGCCCTGAGTGCATCCGAGAGCAAGACGATGACCCGAACACGGCACTGCGCGCGAGGAACTGCCCACACCAGGAGCTCCCCGAGCGTGTCTGCTATGCTCGGCCCCGGGCCGTCCAGAGGCAACGTTCCTCTCCAACGCTTCGCGAACGCGCGACGTGGGCGGGCAAGGCCCAGCTCGGCTGTGGGCAAGGCCCAGCTCGGCTGTGCAGTGCGACTGGGCACTCCGTGCTCCAGGCGCAGGGCCGAACCAGCACAGGACGAGTGCTCGAGTGCGGCCGAACTGCCGCGGCCTGACCAGCATCATGGCAGGCTCCGCCAAAGCGGTGCAAATATCAACTGCAGGCCACTCCTCGCAACACGACCAACCTCGTGCTCCTCCCCTTCTCGTTCCTCCTCACCCTTCTCTGGGCACCTGCCGGCAGAACGGCCCCCTCATTATCCACAAGTGCGGGTGGCTTCTGCACCGCGTGACGAAACATATCAACTATGCCTTGCGCGGCTGGTCTCCTTTCTGCGCACGTGCCGCGACGTATGACCGAGCTCTGAATTTGAACACGGCCCGTGGTGGCGAGGCCGGCGCAACTGGCGTGGTCTCCGTGTTGATCTCAGAGAAACTCTGAGCGGAGGACTTGCCGATCAGCTTCTTGCGCAAAGCCACCATCGCTGCCCCGATCGCACCTCTCAAGATCACGGACCCGTCCAGGCCTGCCCCAAGCGAATTTGCACGAGCACTGCCAGGGCCACGCGAGGCATCCGGCTCCGCGAGCACCCCCATCGCGCGCTCTGGGCCGCCCACCTCTGCGCCGACAGGGCCGCGCGAAGCGATTGGCTCCGCGGACGCCACCATCCCGCGCTGCAGGCCGTCCAGGTCCTCGGGATGTGGTGCGCGGGCCCTCACGACGCCAACCTTGCGAGAGAGCAATGGCCCGTACCCGTGGGTGCTGAACGTCGGCGGTACAAAGCGCGTAAATTCAGCTCCGCATGGTGGCGCCACGCCACCCGCCAATATCGGGTCTAAGCGCCAAGACTCATCGAACGCTGGCGCCGCCATCGGAGAGCAAAGCCCACGGGGGATATTCCCGGAGAAGAGCGCAGGCGTGGTGACGAGACAAGTTGAACTGTTTGCTGACTAATTTGGCTTGCGCCAAAATTGATTGAGCCAAAATGGCTACGGAAACCATTTTACGATTTTACCCTCTTTGGGTCCTCTCGGGGCGTCTCTCGGAATTCTCATGCAATGTCTTGGAGGCGTCTGGAGGCCTCCCGGAAGTCTGGAGAGCCGTCAGCAGACTGTTTTGGACTGCTTGAGAGCATCTTCGGCTTTTCTTTTGCATTATGAGGGGTTCTTGGGGCTGTCTTGGGGCGTCCTGGAGCGTTTTGGGAACTCCCAAGGAGGCCGGGGGGCGCGGTACCGGGCGCCTCTTCGGCAATTTTGGAGTTGTCTGGGCCTGTCTAGGACCCGTCCTGGGGTGGTCTTGCCCTGTTGAAGATCGAAAACGCGAGGTCACAAACCACAGAAAAACAATCAAAATCTACGATTTGGGCATCTTCGGGCTTTACCGGGGCGCCTCTCGGACCTCGATGGGGGTCTTATGGAGGCCTCCTGGGAGCGTGGAGAGCCGTCCACATGGTGGTTTGGACTGCTTGGGAGCGTCTTGGGCCGTTCTTTACGTTCCCCCTGGTGGTTCGGCCGCTTTCGCCTGGGACATCCTCGAAACTCTGGGATCCGAGAGGCCCTGAGCTGGGGTGGTCAGTCCACTTTCGCCTCAGACATCCTCGACCTAGGAGATACCACGCTCCATGGCGGCTCGGCCACTTTCGCCTGTGTCATCCGGGGAACCCTGGATTCCGAGATGCCCCGAGCTGAGGTGGTCAGGACACATTGGCCTGAGATATCCTTGCAATTCTGACCTCATGCCCTGTCCTATGGTGGTCCAGCTACGTTCGCCTATGGCATCCTCGTAAACTGTGGACTCTGAGATGTCATGAGCTGAGGTGGTCATGTCACCTCCGCACGACGACGACGACGATGACGACGACAACGACGACGACGACGACGACGACGAACGAACTCGGCGACGACAACTGGCCATCTGGGGTCGTCCTGGAGGCGTCTGGCGCTCCTCATTGAAGCATCTGAACAGTTCGTTCGAATCTCGTGGCAAGTCTCTTGGGGGGATCCTGGAAGCAGTTCCGAGGCTCTTGGGGCCCGGTTCAGGGCCTGTTGGGGGCCGTTTGGGGGGCTTTGGGGGGCCCCTCGTGAGCCTCTTGGGGGCCCCTTGGGGGCCTCCCGGGCGCCTCTTGGGGCCTCCTGGGGGCCTCTCGGGGCCGAGGGCCCAGAAAGTCCGTTCGGATCCCCTGTCTGGGCCCCTTCTTAAAGCTGTCTTGGGGCCCTCTTGGGTGTCTCTTGGGCCGTCTTGGGACCCTCTTGGGTTGTCTTGGGGTCTGTTGGGCCCTCATGGGCTGCGTTAAGGCGGTCTTCGGGGCTTCTTGGACTGTTTGGAGCGTCGGAAAAGCGAAAAGGTGCTTCTGCTAAAAATGTACGTTCCCAAAGGAATTGGAATGTGTTGCCCTCTTGGGGGCATTTTGATAGGCTTGTGGGAGGCACCTTGGAGCGTCTTGGCGCCTTCTTGCGACGCCATGGGGCCATTTTTGTTGTTGCCCTTACGGTTCGCTTCCCCCATCTCGCGTTGCCAATCTCGCTTCGCTGGGGTCGCGCCGGGCGGACAGACCCGGCGAACGCGACTTTAAAATGAGCGCGCAGGTTATCATACGAGCGGGCAGGACGTTAGACCGAGCGGGATTCAGAAGAGGACAATTGAGCTAGCACGGGCTACATATCATGTCACTACTACAACGATACCCCCTTGTGCACTGGTCCCAATATCCACATGCGCAATAATATCCTGGAGCAACCTTACCACCCACACAGCAAGTTGGAACCTCCCGCGAACCAGAAGCAACCGGCCCGACGCAGCAGTAAGTGTTTGCTTGAGGGCACTCCAACTCACACTCCGAGGAACGGAGATGCACGTCGCCAGGATGTTTATGCTGGCGATGCATGGTAGAACTGAGGTTCTGGAAATCGATCGGTATATCCTCCACTCTCGCCTCCTCATATTGTTTGTGGTCCGGCGTCTCGTCCTTCCAAATGTTCGCGATTTGCGGTTCGCTGGGGCCCGACGCCCGTGGCGTCGCAGTTGTGCGAATCGTCCTCCATCAGGCAGCGTTCCTCCGAGGTCTTGGCTAAGTCATCGGCGGCAACGCAGCCGCGGCCGACGAGCAGGATGGTGAACGCTCCCGCAAGCACCACGACGTTCATTGCGGCAACGGCGGAGTAACAGGGGCTTGGCAGCAGTAGGCGCAAACCAAATGTTCTCTATTCCTGAAGAGTTGCCACAATGTCTTGAGCCAAAATGGTTACGGAGCGCCTTGGGGCCATCTTGGGCGTCTTGGGGCGATGGTTCGGTGACTCTCTGGGCTGCAGTGAACCGACTCGGAGCCTTCTTGGAGCCCTTTTCAGCACGTTTCGGGACTGCCCTGGGCCGTCTGTGAGCGCTCCCGGAGGCCGTGACACGCCATGCCCCCCGTGGTCCCTTGGCCCGTCCAGGCGGCCTCGTCCCCCGGGATATGTATATACGTATATATATATATATCTGTATATATATATATGTATATATATTATATATACATATATATATATATATATATATATATATATATATATACCACGCGCGCGCTTCGCGCGCGCTTAGGTTCTAGCTAGGAGGCGAGCTTGAGTCAACGAAAGTCGCAGGGAAGGGGGCAGGGGGAAGAAGGCCAGAGAGCGCTGAAGGATACAAATACTGAACCGAACCCTCTTGTGATTTTGTGGGGGGCCTCGTCCGGCCGCTCGCTGGGAGTTTGACGTAGCTTCTCGGGAGCCTCTGAACCTGTCGGGGGCCTCCTGGAAGCAGGTTCGAAGCATTTTGGGGGCCGATTTGGGGCTTCTCGGGGCCTCCTTTGGGCCTCTTGGGGGTCTCCTGGGGCCTCTTGAGGGGCCTCCTTGGGGCCTCCTGGCGGCCTCTTGGGGCGGAAGGCTCGAGCTTGCGGTTCGTGGTCCCCCTCTGGGCCCCCTCTTGGGCCCGTCTTGGGGCCCTCTTGGGCCATCTTGGGCGCCTCTTGGGCCGTCTTGGGGCCCTCTTGGGCTGTCCTGGGGCCCTCTTGGAAGCTTCTTGGGCCGTCTTGGGGCGGTCTTGGGCGCCTCTTGGGCCGTCTTGGACGCGGTGAAAGCCCAAGAGGCGAACATGCGAAAAATATACGTTTTCCCATAGGAATGGCACGATTGTTGCTTCTTGGGCCTCTCTTGGGCTGCCTCTCGGAGCGTCTTGGAGGCTTCTGGGACCTTCTTGGTGTCATGACAGGCGTCTTGGAAGGCATCTGGAGCCATCGGAGCGCGTTCCGAAGCCGCCTGCGAACGATCTTGGACGGCGTCCGGCGGTCCGACGAGCCTCCGGGCCCCCCGGGGCCCACATTTGTGGTCGGGGTCCCGGCCCCGGGCCCCCGGACCCGGTGCGCCGTTATATGTATACATGCATACATGCATACATGCTTGTATGCATGCGTACATACATGCATACATACATACATACATGCATGCATGCATGCATGTATGCATACATACATACATACATACAC